ATTGAGAGATTAGAGGTCTTGGAATTCCTAACCTCTAACATCGAAGTGTTCGCCTGGACCCCATACGACATGCCTGGCATCGATCCAAACTTCATCTATCACCAACTCAATGTCCACCCATCCGCCAGACTAATCATTCAGCACACTCACAGATCAGCACTCCACCACGCCGAGATAGTGGCGGAAGAAGTGGGAAATCTGCCAGAAGAAGGAGCTATCAAAGAGGTGCACTACCCCAGATAGATTTCCAACACAGTCGTGGTGCCAAAAAAGAATGGCAAATGACGTGTCTGCGTCGATTATAAGACAGTCAACAAAGCATGCCCAAATGACAGCTTCCCCCTACTACGGATAGATCAACTGGTAGACTTGACGGTGGGGCACAACCGACTTAGCTTTCTGGATGTGTACAGAGGCTACCATCAGATTGCCATGTACGAACCAGACCAGGAGGTCACATCCTTTACCACTCCAAAAGGACTGTATTGCTATAAGGTCATGCCCTTTGGCCTAAAGAACGCAGGGGCAACATTTCAGAGAATGGTCACCAAGATGTTTGAGCCGTTGTTAGGCAGAACAATGGAAGCTTACATCGACGATATGATAGTCAAAAGCAATGATGAGAACGACCATCTAAGGGACCTAGGTGAGATGTTCCAGATTCTGAAGAGGCACAAGTTGCGCCTTAATGCATCTAAGTGCGCGTTCGGTATAGGATCTGGCAAATTCTTGGGCTTCCTGGTGACCAACCGAGGTATAAAGGCAGACCCCTCCTAGATCAAAGCTATTCAGGATCTGGAGAGGCCTAACTCAGTAAAAGAAGCACAGCATCTCACCGGTATGGCAGCTGCACTCAACCGATTCATTAGTCGGTCGTCAGACAGACTACGACCATTTTTTCAAGCATTAAAAGCTAAGTTCGAGTAAGACGAAGAATGCGACCGCACTCTAGAAAGCTTAAAAGAATACATGTCTTCTCCACCACTACTGGTAACCCCAATACCTGGAGAAGAACTCTTCCTGTACCTGGCAGTCTCTCAGCACGCAATTAGCGCAGTGTTGGTCCGTGCGGAAGGAATCCAACATCTGCCAATCTACTATGTTAGCAAGACATTGCTGGGTACCGAAACAAGGTACTTGCCACTGGAAAAACTGGCCTTGGCCTTGATGATGGCCTCAAGAATGTTATCGCACTACTTTCACGCCCACACCATAGTCGTCCTCACAGCTTTCCCATTAAAAGCTTTGTTTGAGAGGGCGAACTTTTCTTGGCGAATCTTGAAATGGACAGTAGAGTTGGGACAATTCGACATCAAGTTCCAACCCAGAACCGTGATAAAGGCCCAAGATTTGGCAGACTTTGCCGCAGAATTCACCCCAGGAAGTCATCATATCTGCCCAATCGACCTGACTGATACAACCAAACCAGGGATAGAAGTTGACGTCGAAATAGCACAACCCCTAGTGCAGGATATTCAGTCAGACCCCAAGGCAGACCAGAATAGAGAGAGTAAGGCAGAAGCGAACCATGCTACACCAAGCCAAGGCTCACCAACAAAATAAAGACTTGGTTCAATCAGATATCGAGGAACAGACAGCCAATATGGACCTTGAAGAGAACACCAGCAACATTCTTGACCCCATGACATCATCTGACCCCTCCACTTGCTAAAAGTTGTTCGTTGGAGAGATGTGGAAGCTCTTCGTGGATGGAGCGTCCAATTGACATGGTGCAGGACTTGGCATAGTCCTCATCTCACCAGACGGCCTGGTTGTGGAGCAAGCAATCAACCTTGGTTTCCCAGCATCAAACAACGAAGCGGAGTATGAAGCACTTCTTGCAGGACTCAAATCAGCATTCTACATGAAGGCCACCGAATTAATGATCTATAGCGACTCACAGCTGGTGGTAAACCAAATTTCTGGCGACTATGAAGCAAAGGATGACAGGATGGCCAAATACCAAGAATTGGTCAGAACAGAGATCAAGAAATTTGAAGTAGTAAGGATAGAACAGATTGGCAGAGAGGAAAACAGCAAAGCAGACAAACTAGCAGGCTTTGCATCAATGGCAGATACATCCATCCCTCACCCGCTACTAATTGACTACCTACCGAGACCAAGCATTGAGGACCCCGATGTAGAAGAGGTGTGTTGCCCCAAATTAGGCCCCTCATGGATGGATCCCATCATACTATTCTTCAAAGACGGCGTTTTACTAGAAAACAAGAAAGAAGCCAACAAAATTCGAGCAAAGTCGCAGCGATTTTGGCTCTCCCCATCTATGGCATTATACAAAAAGTCATTCTCAGGACCTTATCTAAAGTGTGTCCACCCCAGCAAAGTAGAAGCATTCTTGTTCGAAATACACGAAGGGGTGTGCGGAAGCCACCAAGGAGAAAGATCGTTAGGCGTGTCTGTGTCGACTATAAGACAGTCAACAAAGCATGCCCAAAGGACAGCTTCCCCCTACCACGGATAGATCAATTGGTAGACCTGACGGCAGGGCACAACCGACTTAGCTTTCTGGATGCGTACAGAGGCTACCATCAGATCGCCATA